TAGTCCTCCACTTTGGCTCCTCTCACATTCTTACTCCTCTTCAGAAAGTCCTTGATCTTCTCCACGCTGTAGTCTCCAGAGCTCCTACAGCTGCCATCCCTGTGTTTAGAGGGCTCACTGTCAGCAGCAGCATCCTCCTGACTGGACTTAGAGTCCTCCTCCCGACTTGACTCAGAGTCCTCCTCGCAGCTGGACTCAGAGTCCTCTTCCAGACTGGACTCACACTCTGCTGCTCCTCCACTGTCTTTCGTTGCCACTTTCTTCACCTGTGAGCTTCCGCTGTCTCCTCTCTGTTTCCTCTTCAGCTGAGGGGCTTTGAGCTGCTCCTCGTCTGCTTCCATGTCCACCTCACCACCTGTCTCCACCTGTCCTCCAGTACTCTCCCTCACCTTCTGGACCTCACTTGCCCCGACCTTCCTAACCCTAACCCTACCCCACTACACTATCATATACAACATTACACTGTGAAGAAAAATATCGACAAATCACTATTTAACGCTATCAAACACGCTCCGTCAACTCAACACTCCTTCCACTCAGAGAGAGAGAGAGACAGATAGAGAGAGAGAGATATAATCAGTATGATAAGGTATCATGTGTTGTTGTGTATTTGTTGTGTACTTGTCATGTTGTTGTTGTGTTGTTGTGTAGTAGATGTGTAGTAGTTGTGTATTTGTTGTGTAGTAGTAGATGTTATGTTGTGTATTTCTTTTGTACTTGTGGTGTTGTTGTGTATTTGTTGTGTACTTGTGTTGTTGTTGTTTTGTATTTGTTGTGTACTTGTGTTGCTGTTGTTGTTGTGTAGTTGTGTAGTAGTTGTGTACATGTTGTGTACGTGTGGTATTGTGTGTCTCACAGTGAAACAGGATCTGATCTGAGACCAGTGATCCGTTCATTTCTGTTTATTCTTAGAAGTGAGACGTGTTGGAAACTTAACACTGCAGCTGCTCACTAGCTGCTCTCTGATTGGTCCGTTTCACACGTCCAGAGGTGGGTCAAATACTCTCTAAATACTCATTAAATAATCACTAAATATTCATTAAATACTCTAAATATTCATTAAATAATCATTAAATAATCACGACATATTCATTAAATAATCATTAAATAATCATTAAATACTTTCTATATATTCATTAAATAATCACTAAATATTCATTAAATACTCTCTAAATATTCATTAAATAATCACTAAATATTCATTAAATACTCTCTAAATATTCATTAAATACTCTCTAAATATTCATTAAATACTCTCTAAATATTCATTAAATAATCATTAAATATTCTATTAAATAATCATTAAATAATCAATAAATATTCATTAAATACTCTCTAAATAATCATTAAATACTCTCTAAATAATCATTAAATAATCATTAAATACTCTCTAAATAATCATTAAATACTCTCTAAATAATCATTAAATAATCATTAAATATTCATTAAATAATCACTAAATACTCATTAAATCAGAGGTCTTCAACAGGGGGTCCGCGACCACTAGAGGGTCCGTGGAGGTACTGCAGGGGGTTCGTAAAATTCTTGGTTAATTAGACAATTTTTCACATTTTTTCCTCTTTAAAAAAATATATATATTATTTTATTTTTTTACCCCAAACATGAATGTGTCCATTATTGTAATAGTTCAGTATTGTATGAAAGATAACAGGTATGTTTCTGCATGGCAGTGGCACTAATAGGCCATCACTCATTTTTCGTTTCCACATTTATGTTTAAAATGAAAACATCAGTTTGAATAGCTTGTATGATGATTATCATGCTGTTGACAGACAATGTTGATATTGGCATTGGTATCAGCTGACAAGGTATGTTTATGAACTGCAGTGACACGGCCTCACTACTCACTGTACCTTACACATGTTTAAATGTTTAAACTAAAAACATGAATATATGAACCTGTGTATTATTTGAATAGCTTAGTATTGAATGCACAATAAAGAGGTATGTTCTCTAAATAATAATTAAATATTCACTGAATATTCACATATTTATAGATAAAATAACTACAACAGAACATGATTTAATATGATGATGTTTAGCACACTGAGTGTAAACACCAGTGAGTTGTGTGTTGTCACCTCATCGTAGGTCCACACAGCGCTGGCCAACTCCACACAGAAGATCACCAGCAGGCTGCAGAAGTACTGAAACACAAGAAGACTAAATGAGTTTAGTCTGTGTTTCACCGCTGTTTAAGCTAAGCTATGCTACCTAGCATTACCTTTTGTTCTCCATTACATTATGCTAAGCTAAGTTCAAGTACTTTATACAACATTCAATTCCACTTTGACACAGTTACAGCATCTCAACATCAGATCCATCCTGTAAAAGGTAAAAAGTTCTCTTTCTTTACTGGCTCCTTCTAAATGATGTCATCGTTATTTACACAGGTGTGTGTCGGGGGTGCACTTCCTGTCTCTGCAGGTAAACCATCATCCCCTCTGAAGCTGCTCTGTGTCCACACGTCTCCTGTTTCAGGGACAATCTTATCTCTGCTCTGGGGGGGACAATAGAGATACCTGACACCTGGCCCCGCCCCCCTCAGGTGACAGCAGACAGGTGACCTGAATCACAGACCGAACCCCCTTAAACACCCGCGGACAGAGTGACCTCTGTCCAGGTAGACCTGGACTCTCAGGTGTGTGTTATTTATCATAGGTGGACCACCTGCAGCCAGTTGTTCAACAGGTGATCATGTTTGATTGATCCTGAACCTACAGAGTCTGAGTCCAGTAGCAGGATTAAGACGTACCCAGGTCAGCAGCAGCAGGTTACACCTGAGGGTCCCACAGTAGCCCACCATGGCCACGATGAACAGGAAGCAGCACACGGTGATGATGACGGGGTGGACTGCTGGAGAGTACGTGAGGACGGCTGCTTCCTCCAGCCTGGAAACACATTCAGGTTTATCTCTACCTGGTCTCTGGTTTACTTGGACTCTGATCAGATACCTGGTCTCTGGTCTGCTGTGGTACCTGGTCTCTGGTCTGATACCTGGTCTCTGGTCTGATACCTGGACTCTGATCAGATACCTGGTCTCTGGTCTGACTGGGATATCTGGTCTCTGGTCTGATACCTGGACTCTGGTCTGACTGTGGTACCTGGTCTCTGGTCTGATACCTGGACTCTGGTCTGATACCTGGACTCTGGTCTGACTGGGATACCTGGTCTCTGGTCTGATACCTGGTCTCTGGTCTGCTGGACTCACCTGGTGTGGGCTGTGAGGGTCAGGACAGTGTTCAGAGAGTCTCTGATCCAGGCTGCTACTCCCAGCACACATGCTGACATCAGCTGGACACCCACACACACACACACACACACACACACACACACACACACACACGGATCAGTTTCTGCTGCCTACAAATAACATCCCGAATGTCAAACATGTTGTCAGACAGACGGACAGACAGTGGCCTAGTCTACCAGACTTTAACTTACAGTCAAACTTTATACTTTAAACTTTAACTGCAAACGTAATCTTTTATTGCAGGTTTTAACTTTCACTGTAAAATCACATTCTGATAAACACTTAGTTTAGTTTGGAGTGAAATAAGAGATTAGAAACGCAGATAACCACGAGTTCGTGTGTTTTAGTGAGATGATGTTTCACATCCAGGATGATGTCTCTTAACTATCATTATTGATCATATCTCATCATACCCAGAACAGCAGGTTGAGCGCGTACAGCAGACACCGGAGACACCTCACCGCGTCCTTCCGAGCCATCCCGACCGGAGCTCCGGCGTCCTGCTCATGTGAGTCCGGGGCACCATGGCAACATGCTCACCGCAGACACACAACACGGAGCCCGGAGACACGACCGTGGAGATTATCGCTCATTAAAGCGGAGCCTCTTCTCTGCTCCGTGCGTAAAAATACAGGCATTCCGCTCCACGCGTGCGCGCGTCTCTCACGGACGGACTCGGCTCTGTCCGGAGTCTGGTTTCAGCAGCTCGGGTTTATCCGTGAGAAGCTCCGGGAAAAAAAGCTTCCACAACAGGTGGTTTCTTACTTTCCCTCTGAACCCCGCCGGGATGATGGAGCGCGCGGCGGCGCTGACGTTTCCAGATCCGTCATCACTCACTTAGTGGTCGGTTTAAAAAACACGGTTCTACACGGAGTCACGCGCTCACACTTCAGTAGTTATGTGATCCAAAGACTTCTCACTGAAACTCCAGCGATGAAAAGCTAGAATGTAACACCAAATAACGTGTCAAACGTCCGCTAGTGCGCGTTAAATCCTCACAAGTCTGACTTTACGCGTCAACGTTCCGCTGCGTCACAGCGCCGAACGGTCGAGATGAAGTCCGCAGAGTTTGTGGGCACTGGAGAGGGGGGGGGCTGTCCCGGACCGTCCTGCCGCTTCTTCTTCTTCCTCCTCACTAATTAAATGCGTGCTTCCCTCCCCCCGTCTGTCAGCAGTCCTGGGGGAGGACAGAGGAATGTGTCCGCCTCCAGAGCCGGTTGTTGTGTTCAAGAGACACGGAGGAGGACGAGATGCGTTCAGGGACACAAGCTATGAGAGATACAGTAGTTATACTTTTAGTACATTAGTACATAGACTACATGAGAGATACAGTATTTATACTTTTAGTACATTAGTACATAAACTACATGAGAGATACAGTAT